ACTCTCAGGCTTGAATGGAAGGAAAAATAAAATCCACGATGGCAACATACAGATGATAAGAAACCAAAAGAGAAAACCCAAGAAATCCTGACCATCAGGTCACAACAACAAAAAATCACAAATAATCATGACACAGAAGATCTGGTCAGAAACATGATAAACATAAGCTTCTTGGTAAATGACCCACGCATGGTGGGTTGGCAAGGAAATGAGCCATTGGTCATCTAAGCCCGCATCCGCAGTTCCACAATTCATAGAGTATATATCGATACGGTTAGTTCGGCTGATATAATATATGAGCATTGTTTCACACAATTGCCTCAAGACTGGAGGATGCACCTCCGCCGGAAAGTGGGAAGATTGACAGGATTTACGGGACACAAGATATCACCGCTTGGAACAATACAACTACTATTATCCTTTTACAACCATGATGCCAAAAGGAAAAAGACAATCTTGATAGAATTCATGGTAGTATGCCATCCAACAGAGCATAACATTATCTTCGGAAGAACAAACAAGTTATGTTTCGGAGCAATAGATTCAACAATACATGGGCTAGTTAAATTCAATACACTAGATGGGCTAGTAGTAGTGATGGCAGAAATCCGTCCAAGGCACCGGTGCTATCAAATTATGAAAGCAATAGATATAGCCAGGGGAAAAGCGAAAGCCCGACGAGACTCCAGAGGAAAAAAGAAGTGATCAATGACAATTTTTCCGACCAGCTACGAATTATCACAGAGCTCCCCTTAGAGATAAGGGAAAAGCTAGTAAATTTGTTCAGAAAGTAAAAACATGTATTCGCATGGGCACCGACAGATATGGTAGGGATGGACAGAAAGTTAATCGAACACGGGATTAACTTATAGCCATGAGTAGGCCCGATAAAACACAAAAAGTAAGGCTAGGCAGGTGAGAGGAACAAAGAAACTAATTTGGAGGTAGCACGGCTGGTGGATGTGAACATACTGCACGAAGCATTCTTCCCTATATGGATAACCAGTCCAGTTATGGTTAGAAAAGGTGGTGGAAGTTAGCGGATGTGCACAGATTATTCAGACTTAAATAAAGCCTATCCCAAGGACTCCTAACCACTGCCATAGAAAGACCATAAGGTGGAGTCATTGCAAGGATTCAAATCTGAAGTGTTTTCTCGAAGCATACAAAGGCTACCATGAGGTATTAATGAGAAAAGAATACGAAGAAAAGATGGCATTCTACACCGATCATGGAACATTTTGCTACACGAAAATGCCCTTCAGACTCAAAAATGCTAGAGCCACCTACCAACAACTTGTCGACAAAGTGTTTAAAGATCAGATCGGCAGAAATGTAGAGGTGTACGTCGATGACATAATCATAAAAATCCAAAATGACTAAAAGTTACTACAAGACATTCAGGAAAACCTCCAAACCCTAGGGAAGGTGCGCATGAAATTAAACAAAAAAAAATTCACATTCAGAGTATAAGAGGGAAAGTTCTTAAGATACTACATAACGAAAGAAGGAATCCAACAAAATCAAGAAAAGGTCACTAACCTGCTGGACACGATAGAGCCACGGAGCCTAAAGGAGATGTTGGACCTAAATGGAAAACTCACAGCTCTGGGGCGATTCATAGCACGGTCGACGGATAAAGCGATGCCACTATTCCAGATGTTGAAAGGATGCATCGACTAGTGCAACTTCTATTGGACTCGTGAGGCCGAAAGTGCTCTCCAAGAATTGAAAAAAACCCTCCGGCAAGTCCCGACATTGGAAAGCCCCATCCCAGAAGAAATTTTGTCAGTGTACCTATTTGCAACAGCTGACGCAATCTCAGCGGTGCTAACAGTGGAAAGATAGAGCAAACAACTCCCCATATACTTTTGCAGCAGAGCACTGCAAGGGGCCAAAATAAATTACCCCATTGTCGAAAAACTTGTGTTGGCACTAGTATATGCCACCAGACGATTGTGTCGCTACTTCCAAGCTCACCAAATTGAAGTCGTTACCACTCAACCTCTCAAAAGTATCATGCTAAAACCATACGAATTGGGACGATTAGTAAAGTGGGTTGTCGAATTAGGAGAGCGCGACATAAAATACCACCCCAAAACAAGTATAAAAGGACAAGCCTTAGCACATTTCCTAACAGAGGTTCTAATCAAAGAATGTAACGTAACCATCACGCAACAAGAAGGCGGATTAGAGTTCATGGCCAAAAATTTAGCATGGACATTATACACTGACAGTGCAACCAACAAAGAAGGATTAGGAGTGGGCCTCATACTTACTGATCCAGAAGGAAATGAAATAACATATGCGTTATAGTTCGACTTTGAAACAACAAACAACAAGGTTGAATATGAAGTGTTGCTAGTCGGATTGAATTAGCACACAAAGTGGGGGCAAAAACTTGAAAGTCAGGACTGACTCGATGTTGGTTACAAACGAAATAAAGGGAGTATACGACACCAAGAATCCTAGAATAAACAAATACATGATAGCAGTAAACGAGATGGTGGTATCTTTTGACAATTTGAAGATAGAGCAAGTCAAAAGAGGCGAGAACAAGCGAGCAGATGTACTTAGCAAATTGGCACCTACAACGTACAGCCACTTGTCCAAAAAAGTGTTGGTTGAGATACTAAAAACAAGAAGCATAGAAGAAAAGAAATTAGATACCGTCACGACAAAAGACAAAGGCTGGATGACTCCCTTGTACAATTACATGTTGCACAACTTGCTGCCAAATAACCCAAATGAGGTGCGTAAAGTAAAAATCAAAGCATCCCAATTTGTTATAAAAAAATGGGCAACTATACAAAAGGGGATACCTAATTCCATGGTTACGTTGTGTGACGGAACTAGAGGGAATTGATATCATAAAATAAGCACACAAAGGAGAAGCAGGGGAACACAAAGGAGTAAGGGCCCTAACCAACAAAGTATTATGCATGGGTTTTTACTGGCCAACCATGCACAAAGAAGTACAAAAAATAACAATGAAATGTAAAGAATATCAGACTTTCTCTCCAACACAACGGTTCCCATCCACATCACTAACAAGTATATTTAGCCCATGGCCGTTCCACTAATAGGGTATCGACATTGTAGGACCATTCCCAGAATCCCCGAGATGGATCAAGTTTCTAGTGGTTGTTATCGACTATTTTACAAAGTGGATCGAGGCGGAGCCTGTTGCAAACATCACAAGGAGAGCAATGATTAAAGTCATGTGGAAAAATATCTTGACATTCTTCGGAACCCCAAAAACCATGATCAGCGACAACGGGTTACAATTTTCTGAGAATGCATTTCGAGGATGGTGTCAAGACAGGAACATAGAGCAACGCAACAGGCAAATAAAAGTTTCCAACAGGACGCTGGTGAATGGAATCAAGAAACACTTGGGAAAAAGCCAAAGTGAAATTGAGTCGAGGAGCTCCCCAGTATCCTATGGTCCTACAAAACTACACCACAAATCAACACAAAAGAGACACCTTTCAGTCTTGTTTTCGACACAGAAGCAGTGTTACTCCCGGAACTACTTATGGGATCAATTCGCATGACAGGGTTTAGCCAGGAAGCATTAGAAAAAGACTTGCGCCATAATTTGGACCTACTTGACGAAAAGCGAGAGAAAGCCCATTTGAACCAGGAAACATATAAGTCTCATGTGGAAAGCTACTACAACAAACGTATGCAAGGGGATACATGAAAGTTGGAGACTTGGTGCTAAGAGAAAACGAAGTCAGTCACAGCGAGCCAAGGGGAAAGTAGGTCCAACATGGGAAGGCCCATACAGGGTAACCACGGTGCACCATAATGGTTCCTACAAACTGGAAACAATGGAGGGAAGAGCCATATCCCAAGAGCTTGGAACATCTAGCACTTGAAAAAAAAATTGTATAAAAAAGGGGCGGGTGGGGGGAGAAGAGATGAGAGGAAGCTAAAGACCCAACAGTATATTTTTTTCCTTTGTAACAAATTGAGTAGTTATAAATCAAAAATTCCTAGGGTTGATCACCCTAGGTAACTGTTTTACTCATATTATAGCTCTCCTCTTCCATTACTATTTCGGTTTAAAGGATTCCAAACTTTGCCAAGAAAGAGTTGCATGGTTCAAACACCAAACTCTGTATATCAGCAAGCAGTCTACTCTTTCCTTGGTTTAAAGGATTGCAACCTTTTCTAAGAAAGAGTTGCATGGTTTAAACATCGAACTTCGTATAGCAGCAAGCAGTATAGTCTTTCCTTGGTTTAAAGGATTGCAACCCAAGAAGGAGTTGCATGGTTTAAACATGCAACTCTATATAGCAGCAACCAGTCTAGTCTTGCCTTAGTTTAAAGGATTACAACATTTTCCAAGAAATAGTTGCATGGTTCAAACACCTAACTCTGTATAGAAACAAGCAGTATAGTCCTGCCTTGGTTTAAAGGATTACAACCTTTCCTAAGAAAGAGTTGCATGGTTCAAACACCCAACTTCGTATAGCAGCATAAAGTCTAGTCCTGCCTTAGTTTAAAGGATTGCAACCTTTTCCAAGAAAGAGTTGCATAGTTCAAACACCAACTCCGTATAGCAGCAAACAATCTAGGCTTGTTTTGGTTTAAAGGGTTACAACCTTTGCCAAGAAAGAGTTGTATGGTTCAAATACCCGACGCCACATAATGACAAATAGTATAACCTTGCCTTAAAAGAACCAAAAGGTCCGAACACTCGGCTACATATGGCGATAAGGGACTCAACCCGATTACGCCTAAGTTTAAAGGATCATTCCAAAAAATCAAAGAAATACCAACATGAGACAATCATACAGAACAAATAGAAAAGATTAAACAAACACACATCCTAGTATACATAAAAAATAAGGGAAAGAAGTAATTGTTATGTTACATGCCAACATCTGGCAAAACAAAGCCACATAGGGCCAACAAAAGAGCAAAATATTCATTCACACCTGTTAGGGAAACACAACAGGGACAAAGCCCCAAAAGTAAGAAGGGTTTTTTCATTTTCCAGCTTTTCCATCCAAGCCATTAATCTTGGCATTACTGCTAGGACCTACTCCTTCATTTTCATCATCCGCACACAGTTGGCGAAGGCCGCCGATATCCACAAAGCCCAAGTTCATCATGGAAGCATAATCACAAGAGATGAACGAGTCAATCGCATCAACCATCTCCCCCTATATAGCTCGAGGTAGAACTAGCAGCATTAGGATCAAAGGTTCCAGCAACCACTGCCTTACGCAACATATCCCTACCAGACTCCTCACCAACAGAAAAGTAAATATTCTTGATACGGCCCACACCCTACAAAAAATTAGGAAGATCGATAACCTTGTCAACAATCCTAATAATTCCATCCTTGACAAGCCAGTCCAGGTCATTCCCAAGACGGGATAGCTCCGCTTCGTGGTCAAGCAGCAATTTTTCTTTATCCAACATTTCTCTTTCCAGACTCTCCACTCGGATGCTCAAGACCTCATTTTGTTGAAGGGTTTCATCAAGCTTCATATCCACATGGGAACAACGCTCCTCAAGGGTCATCTTCTCACTAGCCAACAACTACAATTTTTGGCGAGAAGATTCCACCAAGGATTCCAGAGAAGCGACATGTTGTTGAAGACCCCTATCATTTACACGAAGCTTGACAGCCACACTTTTAAGATGTCGAATGTGCCGAGCCCCAACAGTAAGGAGACTTGCCTCGCTGGAAGATAGATTATTGCCTTGGAAGATAGCAATAAGATAATCGTAATCAGATGTCTCCGAAGTAAGAAGAGACTTGCCTCGATGGACCGGCGGCGACTCTGTCGGGATAGCTCAGATGGAATCCTTCTTCATAATGGTTTGTTTAGACGCCCTTTGTACCCCTTCGGAATGGTGTGTGTCATATTTAGGGATACTTATCACGTCTTCACTAGAAGGAAACAAAGTGGAAATGAAATCGGTGGCAAGCTTACGTCGACGGCTGCGGTCAGCAAAGGTTTTCCCTTTCGTTGCATCAGAAAGAGCAGCGATACTCAAAAGTCCTGTCTTTCTCATCACACGGGACGTCACGCCCACAAAAATCCCCTCCTTTTTTATCTTCCACACGCTCCAAGCCCTCAGACTGGAAGAGAGGAGGGAGTACTGGGAGGGGTACTCCATCTGGATTGCCAGACGAAGGCGTCTCACCAGCAGGATTCGAGTGCTAAGGCACCAAAATAGTGGAAGTAGTGGGTCCTCGAGCAAGTTTCTGGCTAGGAGGGAGAAGGTTTTCATTCAGATTGATCGGTCGGAACTGCAAGTCTCCTTTGAATTTCCATACAAGCACGTCAGAGAAAGACAACACTTGTTTTTCCCTTGCAAGATAAACATCGCCTCTCGTTTTTTTTTAAAAAGAGGGAAAAGGAATGAGAACAAAAATAGGAAAGTCAAAAAGAAAGAAATGAAAAAAACTTACATGCATTAACGGCAAAAAACTCAGGCGTCTCCTGACGGCGTTGCCACTTGGTGTTCATTCCTGCTCCAATGAGAATATACTCAGGAAACTCCTCATGAGCAATGATGAATCTCTCCAGAAGACGAACAGTTTCTTGATCATGGCCAAGTAGCTTGGGAGAACTATCGGAAGTTGTTTTAGTCCGAAAATAGGGTCCGCCGACTCAAGAACCGTCCACCCAAAGCTAGTTATTTTGCCAATTTTTTGGGTTACTTTTCCTGTTAGGAACGAGGACATGAGCATTCTTCTGGGTAAAGAAGGTAAATTTATCACCGGAAGTAGAAAAATGAAAGAAATTCTTGAACACCAATACGTTTGGAAGAAAACCCTGAGACAGATAGAGCACTTGGAAGGCGACAACATTTTTTACAGTATTTAGGGTAAGGTCGTAAACATCGACACCATTTTTACAAAACACTTCGTCATGAAAGTCAGTAGTCGGAAGCCGATAGTGGACATCAAAGGTTCTGAAAAATATACCGGCCTTTCCCGGTGGGGGTTCCAGAAAGGAGGCTCCGTCTAAGGGTATTAGCACTCCATCCTCCGGTTGAAATCCATACTTCTCCGGGAGAAACTCAGTATATTCAGAAGTTGGAACAACGCCGTGAGAAGAAATCATGATGATAGGGAGAGCCATTTTCTTTGAAAAAAATGCAGAACAAGGGAAGAAGAGGATTGATGGACGAAAATATGTAGACATGTAAAGAGAAAGGCATGTATTTATGGATAAAGATCATGGCAAATCAAAAGCCTAGAAAAAGCAGGCCACTCTGCAGAAGTAATAACTGTCTGACAGATAAATAAGTGACACGTGTACCTATGAGTCTAGAACATGATGACTTGCCGCGCTACGCCATCACTACTAGACTAGGGGGCTTGATGACGTACCCTATAGCGGTCCATCGTGGAATGACTAAATGTGATTGTATCTCGTCTAGCGAGGCATGTGCTGGTTCGAGCGTATGAAATAAGGAACAGCTAAACGACACTGCCCAACTAAGCCTACGAGTCAGCAGAAAGAAGTGTCGAGGCGAGACCTTAGCAAGACAAACAGAAGGATCAACTATCCCCAACAGCAAGTCATCGTCATCTGGGGAGAAGCCTTTTGCTCCCCACGCAGGGCTATATTTTGTCATAAAAAGGGAGACATCAGTAAGGTTGTGAACGGGCCACTACTGTTTATTCCCTCTACTCCAATCAGGATAGAGGAAGAGTCAAACGGAGACAGATGGTCCAATAGCAGCCCGGTATGTCGAATATCGTTATTATGGTCCCCCAACTACCTAAAACCCTAAGTATATAAAGGACACCGATAGCACCTAAAGATGTATGATGTATTTTTGCTCTGTCTCTCATATTCACTAAAGTTATTCTCCCAGATAGCTGACTAGATCGTCGGAGCGCCCTCCCGGAGAACGCCTGGCATAGTGTTTGATTGTGACTATAGGTTCTCTGCGGAGATTTCCTAACAAGCCCGGAGTCTCGTTGCGGAACAACGTCGCAACACACACACACACACACACACACACACACACACACACACACACACACATATATATATATATATATATATATATTATATATATATATATATATATATATATATATATAAAGTTTGTAAAAGTTGCTTGACGGTACTAACTCATTCGTCTAACATCTAGGGATTAGTCAGCGACTATTTGCAGCCCTAAATTATACATTCTTAAATTTAAAAAAATTAAAAATGACTAATATCATACAAAAGTTGGTAAATACCACTAATTGCACACAAAATAGGTTAATATGATTAATAAACACTAATCATTCCTTAAATTAATAATTTTCATTGTGATAAAAAATTTTCAAAATGTTAAAATTTATCGGATTCTACAACTTCACTCATATTTTATAGACGATGATTAATCGTAAGGCTTGTTCTAATTGGTCAAGAAGCTCCTAGAGAATAATCAGAGATTAATAAAGGCCTAGTTGGGTTTTTTACAATATTGAAATATATATATATATATATATATATATATATATATATATATATATATATATATATATAAATCAGCAGTCATATCTATGTCCTCAGTCCATATTACTGATGATTCATAGATATTGCTTATACGTTCCATTTTGTTAATATTTATAGTTTTAATTTTGAAAAATGACGTTTGGATTAGTAGTTCTCAAGTTCTCACATTTTTTTTATTCTAAAAATAACTTGTGAGTATATATATATATATATAATATATATATATATATATATATATATATATATATATATATATATATTTGGTCCTTCGGAAAAATAGTTTTTTGGTAGTAACTTAACGTAACTGATCTAACAGAGTTAGGGTTCTGGACGGACATTGCGAACATTGAAATCTAACTAATAAATGAAAATCATTTGTGTCAAATGTTATGTTTTTATTGGATTTGACACATGCCATTTTCTATGAGTTTTTTTATAATTATTTTTTTGTACTTGTTATTTTTTTGTGTTTCTCATTTTCTTCAATTTAAAATCGAAATTTTACTAAAGTTTTTTATATGTAAGGTAGACCATTTTATTAAATTTCAGAATAAATACTACAATTGTTTCTTTTCTTCCAATTTCAATTCTCCTACAATTAAAACTTAAATTATTGATATCACGCATAGGCATCTAATTGATATCATGCATAGGAATCAAATTGATATCTAATTGATATCACGCATAGGCATCTAATTGATATCTATACGGGTCTCACACTTAACTACAATAACAAATCGATACAAACTGAAAACATTAACGAAAATTGTGATATTCATCAAACTATAAGGACTATTTTCTTAAATTTAACTAGTATATAATAAAGTAATAAACGTAATATTATATGAAAAGGGAATCTAGTTGTAATGTAGTGGCAGACAAAATATGAGGGCAACTCTCCCTAATGTTGGAGAGGAGATAATAAATAATAAAAATGAACAACTTGGTTGTCGAAATTTAAGAATATTAGGTATTAGCTGTGCAAGATTACCATATTAAATATATTTTTATGTTGTATATAATGCAAGTTAGATTTGTATTTAGTGAAATTATAAATCTATTATTGATTTAATTTCAACACATTTAACAGCAATTTCTTCTGTAATATTAATTGTATTTGTTGAAATAATGGTTATTTTTTCTATACGCTTGTGTCGATTTAGAAATTGAATGTTTTTGTATTTAATATTCAACGTTAAAAGAAGTAATATCAAATTTTGGACCTTCTGATGTGCGTTTGTTGTGTGGGGTGAGCCAATCGTGTTATTGGAATATTTAAATATTATTTTATTATGTAAGATATTTTAAATACTCTTGTTTTGAAACTCAATCAATCAATGTGTACTTAAAAGATGCCATATTATTATTATTTATTTGTCATTGGATATGATTCTTCCCCCCTTGCCTTTTGATTTTAGGTACTTAAAAAGCAATCTAATAAGAAACTCCATTATGTTTCCATGGTTTTAAATATAGCAACAATAATAATTGACTTAGAACCTTATATTACTATTTTCCCCCTATAATCACATGGAAGATGATGTTTTCCGAAACATTAAACATGAGTGGTTTAAAACTATGCCCCTATATATGGATCTGAACGTTCATCATTAGGTGTACATAAAAATATCAAGATCAGATGCAAATCAAAATAAAATTATTCGCTTCTAAATATAATAAAGATTAAAAAAAATTCGAGAAGTAACAACGTAACACCCCTACTTTTTGTTTAAAGATCATAATATTGATATTTTAGATATCCTTAATTTACAAGGTTCATGTGTAAAGTTGTTTTATATAAATCTAGCATTTTCGGTATACTACAAAATTTCACAACTCATTGATTCCACTTATCCATAGTGCTGACATATCTTGTGTACTTGTGTTCTATCGTCAGATATGGTTTTGTGAGTAGGGTCCCACCTCACCCTACCATGACCATATACATCATCCATACTACGATCACCAATAATACAAGCAAAACGTAAACACTTTGACAAAATTGTCTGTTTTTTATAACGCATGCCATGGGGCTTTATGCCTTTATCACCACACTACCCAAAATAAAACCACTATTCTTTAAAGATACCAATGGGGTTTTCACACAACAGAATTAAGAGACAACCATCATTGCAAAAAGCCAAATCGGTCCATATACAAGATTTAATGCACTAGTACAAGTGATTGTAGCATGAGTAAAAGAAGATGTACCTTCTAAAAAGCTAAAAACAACTCATGAGATGAAAAAGAGAGAAAGAAAACTAGAGTTTCACACAAAGAGTCAATCCGTTCATAAGTAGAAAGTAAAAACCCTAAAAAATAATCTTGAAATATACCAAACTTTTTCTTGAATTCATTCTTTTATATCAAGTCATGTTTAAGCTTAGAACTTGATACATCCATGGAGACTGTTTGAGTGGTCTATCTGAAGAACTGTTACTGTTTCTTCTGTTGCTATTCATAAAGCCTGAATTCTCTCTTGAGATTCTTTCTATTCTCTTTGTATGACTCGACCCTGTTGAAGATGATGAAAAACTGGGCACGGAATCTGATGATTCGGGCTTATTTGTCATGTTCCTCCTCCGATTAAAACTTGTGGGGGCCAACGTCAACTCGATCTCACACTCGTCTTCCTCAAGTTCTGGATCATTTAATGTTTCTGATACATGATTGTACTCTTTAGCTGTTGTTCCAGGATGTTCCAAATCAAACTTGTTCTTCTGATAATTGAATGATATGTTTTCTTGATGATTATGTCTTGTTCTTTGCACGTTCTTCATCAGCATCTTCTGAGTTTGATACAATCTATGAAGTTCATATACCTTCATTCAAAGAAAAATTAATCAACACCCATTTCAGATAATCTTTTTTGTTCACAGAATCTATAAAGAAAGTTAATTTTTAACACGTGTATATACCTGTTCTTTGAAGGTTTCTTCATGCTTTAACATGGCCATCTTCATACATTCTTTATCATCTGGCTGAACAAACTTATCCATCTTTCTCCTCTCCAATCTTCAAATCTTTAGATCGACAAAAAACTGGAGCGAAATTCGAATTCTATATTTGATAATCAATTTGCTGAGAGCTGCATTTGTAGGACATATATAAATAGATTTAGAGATTGCATGGCTCCAATGGAACACAAAAGGTTAAGAAAGAATTCAAGTCCAGATTCTTTTTGGTTTGTTTTTATTCATGCCACCTTCACTGCAATAATTATCACGACAATAAAGAATCTTGATCGACAACCATTGTCTTTACTCTTTAATGGCGATTTATATTTTTTCAACTACAAAAAAAAGTCTATGATTGCATCAGGAGATGAACTCGTGGTCATGCACCTTGTACAGATCCATTTCTTGAAGCATATGGTTGAAAACAACGCGAAATTCACAAGATAGCACACATACACACACACACACCACAAAGAAGTAAATAAAGACGGCTTATTCGAGATTTACGTGAAATACCCAATTTGAGAAAACCATGGGAGAGAAAAGCACATCAATCATATAGATAAAGTTTAGACCTATTGCAGAAATGGTGAAGAACAAGAAGAATAACTAAGGTTTCTAACCTTTTTGGAAGTGTCAAGTTGGCAGTGAAGAGGAGGTTTCCAACTCCAGAGTTTCTAATGATTGTGTTCCAACGATAAGATGAAATAAAGCAGATTTGGAAAGGGTGGGGGTAAGGGTAGGGGTTGGGTTGTATTGCTTACAACTCATAATTATAATACATAATAGCCACGAACAGCTAATCCGTTTGTTTGATACGCATGATAATAACTTAAAGAGAGACACCCTGCAGCCCTCATGTTCACAATATATAAATTGGTTGAATAGTTAATTACGCATATATTTTATAAAAAGTATACCTTACCCTCTTATATATAGAAAAAAGTTTGATAGAAAATTATATCAAAATACGGTATATGTGATGCACCGGTTATAAAAATAACTATTTTATGGTTTACTTTTTATTAAAAAAAACTAAAAATATCAAAATTCATAAAAAAATTTCTTTTATAAATAGACATTTATATCAATATATAAAAAATTAAACTTTTCTTTAAAGTTTTAGTTTGGATTTACATTATGCGTCTACTGTATCCTGCACAATATTCACAATATTCGTATGATATCTATGAGTTTGCTCAACATGATTGTCATTCATATGTAAATGATCAATATGCATTGGCGGATCTACTTGGGAGTCCAGGGTAGCCCGTCTAGTAGTATAAATGTTTTCGTAATTTTTTTTATGTTGTGGTGTTAAAAACTCCTTAACTTATAAATCCAACCTCCTTAAAGCCCAAATTTAATATAGGCTATAAATCCAAAGTGTTTAAATTCCAAATTTAATACCCAACTTGGAAGCGGCTTCACTACTAAAAAAGGGACAAAAAAACATTGCTAGTTTAAAAATGATGAGTTTCCACAAATTTTTAAGAAGATATACATGTGCTCTTTTGTGAAAAAAAAATAGTATTTAAATTATGGAAATGTCAGAATATATATTATGTTATCCCACGAAACCAGAGGACCAGTATAAGTTATCAGTATCATTTTGATGTTGAAATTTTTAACACGCTTTTGGATATGCAAATTTAAAAAATTTTGTAATCGATTTAGTGAAGTTAACTTTGACATTGGCTCTCCCACTGTCAATATGAATAATAAATATCTATGTAAATAATCGTCAAGCTAGCCATATCATGTGAATATAAATAAATATTCACAATATTCATATGTAATAAATATAATTAATTTCATGCATGAATCTAAATAAATTCACTTGATTTTTTTACTATTATAACATTTTGTGCATACACAAATGAATTAATTTTACTAAGATTTATAAGTGAATTTTATTCAAATTCTCATGCAAATGATAATGATTACTTAAAAAATTCAGGTACAACGGTCAATTTTATATGAATTAATTTGTAAAATCTAAATACAAAATATATTTATTTATATTGTGAATCAGAATAAGTTGAAAATGTGTGTAGAAAATATATACAGTTTATATTCAAAACATAAGTTGGAACGAGTTGAAACTTTATGTAAAAAAACTAGATTTAGTTCACAATCGCAATGTAAATCTGAAAGAACTGAAACTAAAAAAAAAATTATATATCGATAGATGTCTATATATAAATGACAAAAAAATGATATATTTATTCATTCAATGAAAATAAGCTTTAAAATTTAGAAAAAAGAAAAACAAAAAACAAAATGAGTTTTCTTTTTTACAATGTTTATGAACGTATAACTAATAAAAATATATCATTATCTTTACTCCTTGATATTATCCATCTTAATGATTTTTTGTTACATTGTCTTTTTGGGTTCTCTTTTATATATATATATATATATATATATATATATATATATATATATATATATATATATCAAATAAAAAGTAAATTTTTGGTAGGAAAAGTAAGAATTGCACTATTTTTATGTTTTTTGTTCAACCAACAAAATAAATAGTTAAATGATACAAAAATAATATAATTTATAAAAAAAATCTCGAAAAAACATTAATAATTCATTTATTGACTGAATCAAGTTTTGATTCACTTTTCGAACAACTTTAGTGAATCATCCCAAAAATAAATCACGATGCGTTTTTTTTTTTTTTTGAATTATTTTTGCAAATAGTATTCTTTTTGTATTATTAAAGTTTCATTTTGTTGATTCGTTAAAAATCATAAAATTGATGCACTTTTTACCAAATATTTTCTTTTTACATCATATATATATATATATATATATATATATATATATATATATATATATATATATAATTTTTATTTGGTAATTTTAATTATTTCTCACCGAAATAAATTATGAAAAATAACTAAATTTGTTTTATTATTTATTATATTAATACAATAATTTATTAATAACTAATAAAAAAAGTTTTATTAGTTGGAAGGTTGTATTATTTGTTACACCATTAAAGGGATTTGAGATTCATATCCAATAAGTACAGGCATGTACGATTATGTCATTGTTTAATTAATTAAGTTAGTAACATCCAACAATTGAACCCATATTTACATCATAAGATTTTCTTTTTTTTTCGACTTATTTTATGTAAATATTTATATTAAACAATGTAGTTTTATGACTTTCGTCTATTCATGTGTTCATCCAAAGCATTAAAAATGACGTTGAAGGCTTGAAACCTTTAAAGATTAGTTTGGTTTTAATTCTAATTAAATTGGTTTAATTCAAACTTTTATTTGAGGATGGTAGTTTAATAATTTCATATGATATTTTAGATTGTAGATAAGACTTTCAATACAAAATGGGTTTAATCTAAATTAAAATATTAGTTTGGACATAGATGTGAATTTTATGGTTTTAGTCGGACGTATATGTAGTTCTTAAATTTATAAGGACATAAAAGTTATATTTAAATTTTGTAAGCATATGAATGAAAGTTTGCCTTTTTATTTAAGGAAAGCTACAGAAAAATCCTAATATTCCATCATAATTTACGAAAAACTTCCAAACTAAAATTTGTTTATGAAAAAATCCCAATTACCGGTAAAAATGACAATTTTGGTCATTTTTTCCCGATTTACCGGTTTCATTACTTACCCGGTTCCATTAAAGTCTCATTAATTTACCATAATTTACGAATAAGTCCCAAATTAAAGTTAATTGATGATTCAGCCTTTTCTCCCTGTAGCATATATATTACCAGTGTTAATGCTGATCTTGACACATAATCATTAAATGAGCTGATGATATGGATATGTTGGGTTATATAATGTCATGTTTACCATAAAAATTATATCCTGATCTATTGTATATTTTTTGAAATATAAAATGCATCCAACGAAAACTACAATAAAACTGCAACAATTACATAAACTAGCAACAAATTCATCATTTTTAAGTTTATAAAGAATTTCAAATTGTCTATCTAATCTTATGTAACCTAGTATATCTATCTCATCAGCTCATTTCCCGCCATTTTTTCCAAAAATACATATTTTACCAGTTTCATTGCTGACTTGGATACATAATCATAAACGAGCCGATGAGATGGATATCAAATTTTACGGTAAACATAACATTATATAATTCATTGTATCCATCTTATCAGCTAATTTAATGACTAGACGTCTAGATCAGTAATGAACCCATTAAAATATATGTTAAATGGAGAAAATGGCCAAATCATTAATTAATTTTATTTTGAGACTTATTTGTAAATTATGGTAAAATAATGGGATTTTAATGAAACCGGGAAAATCGGTCAAATCGTAAACAAATTTTAGTTTAGGACTTTTTCGTAAAATTAGGATAAAATATTAGGACTTTTCTGGAGATTTCCCTTTTATTTACTATTAAGATGTATGCAGTCTTGAAAAAATATGAGTCCATGTCTACTCCAAGAAGAAAATGCAAAGATCCACGGTCTTCTAAAAACATATAGTCTGTGAGAGGAAAGGTATGCACGTTCTGTGCACATCACAGAGAAAAGATGTCAAAAAGCTCTTCTTGAAAAAAAAACACCTAAGTAAAAGCTCGACTAGTAAGTGGGATATATACAAGCTCTGTTTAATAAAAAAAAACAATAAAGTGGCCTACTGAATACTGAAAAAAAAATGTAATCCACACCAATCTGAAGTATGAACCCCATTAAAATCAATAAGTAAGACATACTCCTACTGCTAAAAAGGTTACACAAGGAATCCCACATCACATCGATATCCTGGTTAAGGTGTATAGTTCTTAATAAAGGGAATGTGAACTTTTTTTTAGTAACCTATATATCTTTAAGAGCGAGATAAGAATTAGAATAAATAACCTTCTTATTTATGAAGAACAGATTCCAAACACTAAGAATACACTCCAACATTCCCCACGCTGAAAATTAGAAAAATCAAAATTAAAATTACCCCATATTTCATTAATCATCCATGTAACGTCCCAAAAATACTAGTAAAAAATTTCATTTTTAATTCATCATATCCATACAAGCATTTGTTCAAAAATCAATCATAGTAAAATGTATCTCTCAAAAATCTGAGTAAAATAATAATAAACCTGAAAACATTTTAAAGATGAATCGTAAGCACAAAGCTTAGTTAGTTCCCAGAAATACCATATACCATACATAAATTCGCCATGGGCTACCCCCATGATATTTCCTTGAAATGTCATGGGCTACCCCCATGGTCTTACATCCAAGTGCCATGGGCTACCCCCATGGTCTTTACTTAAAATGTCATGGGCTACCCCCCATGGTCTTATATCCAAGTGTAATTGGCTACCCCATGGTCTTTCCCTAAATTCCATGGACTAGCCCTATGGTATTTCATACAAATGTCATGGGCCACCCCCATGGTCTTCCATGCAAGTATCACAAAGAAAACTAGCATCCTAGATAGTATAATGAAAAGACTCGCCTCGTAGACGTAGTTAACAGTTAACAACTCTCACAGCCAATGAACGGGTGTTATGCACCTCCTAATAAACCATATAAGGTAAACCCTTAATCCACCTTCTAAACCTAGCCACTTAACCAAAAGTCAACTAAGTAAAAAATTCAACGGTCAAAGTCAACTTCAGATGGTCGCTACGTCATGGCCAATCCTTAGCCACGTCGTGGCAGCTAAGTGGCAAAACGGTCGCCGATCCTTTAAATCCCACGTTGTGGTAGCCTACGTTCCACGTCGTGGTTTCTGGTTTTGGACAACCTAATTGTTTCATACTTAATCCATTAAGCCATAAACTTATACTTTCCAGAAAGCTTCTAGGAACACCGAAGGCTCATAAAAATCTAAACTTTATGGATATGCATGCCCCATGCATGTCCTTTA